CTTTCATTAACCAACTTTATTTCACTATTTTAAATATACTGTTCACGTATTATAAATATTATTTTTTATTTATTAAAAAAATAAAAATACTGTTCATCTGTGTTTGGTGTAAGTATTTGGCATAAAAAAATGGATATAAGAATAGCATAGCTCAAATTCAAAAATGTTATTCTTACACCAAAATCATACACCTACATCGTATTTCACTGTTCATCTATACGGTGAACATTGAAATATTATAATATATTTTTTTTAAATAAAAAAAAATTAATTCTTTTATTAATTTTTTTAATTTTTAAATTAAATGATATTGACATAAAATTATGTGATTAACCAACTGCATAACTTTATTAACCAATCTTATATATTGTATTAACCAACTTCACTAACTGTAAAAAATTATTCTTAATATCTGGACGCGTATTAACCAACTTCATAACTTCATAACCAACTTTTTACATTTCATTAACCAATTTTGATTTATTGCTAAAAATTATTTTTAACATCTGGACGTTTATTAACCAACTTCATCACTTCATTAACCAACTTTTTACATTTCATTAGCCAATTTTATTTCACTATTTTAAATATACTGTTCACGCACTATTCACGCATTGTTCACGTATTATAAATACTATTTTTTATTTATTAAAAAAATAAAAATATTGTTCAATCGTATAAATACGATGAACAATGTTTGATGTAAGTATTTGGTGTAAAAAATGGGTGTAAGAATAGCATAACTCAAATTCAAAAATGTTATTCTTACACCAAACCATACACCTACACCGTATTTCACTGTTCATCTATATGGTGAATAGTAAAATATTATAATAATATTTTTTTTAAATAAAAAATAAAAAATTTATTATTTTAATTTTATATTTTATTTTTTTTATTTTTTAAATTAAATGATATTGACATAAAATTATGTGATTAACTAACTTCATAACTTTATTAACCAATCTTATATATTGTATTAACCAACTTCATTGACTGTTAAAAATTATTCTTAATATTTTGACGCGTATTAACCAACTTTTTAGAGCATCTCCAATGGTGCAATCCATTTTTAGGTTTTTTGTGGGACCCACTCTTTTAAAGCAACTCATTCAATTTTCATTCTAATGGTGCAACTCTAAAGAATCCATATTGAGTCCCACCACTTTACTTAAAAAATATTATTTATATTAAATTTATTTTATTTAAAGTTATAATTTAAATATTTAAATTTTAATTAAAATGATAATTAAAATAATAAATAAAATTTTATATCAAATTATAGTTTTTATATTATAAAATTAATATTTTAATATAAGAACCATTGAAGAACCGTTGCATATTTAAGAACTTTTTCATCTTGAAAACAACAAATATGAGTGCCATGTTGGCAAACCCACTCTAAGAACTCCCATTGGAGTTGGTCTTACATTTTATTAACCAATTTTAATTTATTACTAAAAAATATTTTTAACATATGGAGGTTCATTAATCAACTTCATCACTTTATTAACCAACTTTTTATATTTCATTAACCAACTTTATTTCACTATTTTAAATGTACTGTTCACACACTATTCACGTATTATAAATATTATTTTTTAATTAAAAAAGTAAAAATATTATTCATCATATAAATATGATGAACAATGTTTGGTGTAAGTATTTAGTGTAAAAAATGAGTGTAAGAATAACATAGCTCTTATAAATTATGTGATACTTTCTATGTTTTTAAGTTCATATCTTAATTTATGAACTTTGACTTTAAGAAAAGAATAAAAAAAGATTATGGTTTCTGTTTCAGAACTTATAGGAATTACAGTTTAAAATGGAAGTAGAATGGCATTAGAAAGAAATGTTAACATAAATAAGTAATCTTCATCAACAATAAAGAGGTATGGGAATTGCAACTTAAAATGGAAGTAGAATGTCACATTAAATAGGTATGACCATAAAGATCTAATGAATCGTCACAAACATGTGGAATACAACATTCTCGTTTTTTCTCAATATATTTCTGGAGACACATGTGTCAATCCATATGAAGCATAAGTGGTAATCTCTCAATATATTTCTGGAGACACATGTGTCAACTCATATGAAACATAAATGGTAATTACAACGTCTTTTATTTGAGAACAAATATATATGAGAATACTTAACATCACATATCAATTCCCTCAAAAACCTATCTACATGGTTAAACTCATGCTTTACTATTAGATTCAAGTAACTAATGAATTGGAGACTAAATGAGTCAATTTTAATTATATCATTTCTACAATTTAAAGAATTTAAAGGAATCAGGTAAAAACATTGCTATTCAAAGTCGATCGATCGTTGCAACTTGCAATAATAGGGCCATCAAAGGTTCAACCCGTTCTTACATTGCTTTGAATTCCTAATCTAGTAATTGTTAGGGGAGATTTTTTCGATAGAGAGCATTGAACATTGTGGAACTTTTCCTTTCTAGAGCAACAGTGTGAGTGCACCCTTGTACCACCATTGACAGTACCACCATTGACACTCTTCAAGGAGACACTCAACCCACGACCTGTGGGAATACTTTCGATACAAAGTGCACCTTTGTACCACCATTGACACTCTTCAAGGAGACACTCAACCCACGACCTGTGGGAATACTTTCGATACAAGTAAGTCGTTCCCTTTACTCGAACCAAAGGCTCATGATACCACTGTTAGAGGCAGATTTTTCAACTAGAGAGCATTGAACATTGTGAGACTTTTTCCTTTCTAGAGCAACCTTTGTAAGAGACACACCACATACTCACCCAAAACCTTAAGGTGATAGGTGTATGAGTTCTCTCACTTATAAACGCTCAAGTCACCACATTTCTATCCAATGTGAGACTATTATCCACACTACTCACACTTATTAATACTTAACAGTAATGGTGAATGTTATGTTTAACCAAGATAATCTTCAAATGAGACATATACATAGGGTAATAACGTCGTCAAAATTAGTTAAGCAAATTAGCATGTCTCACGTTTTGTCTTTCGGCGACACTTTAACATGCCCAATATTGGAGACAAGCCATTGTTCTAGTAGATGGAACACGTATGATAGTAGTAGGATACTCAACTCGACAACAATAAGGATATTTTTCACCTATATGGTTGATCCAACAATAAAAATATTAACATGATGTAATGTACAAGCTCCAACCCCTGGTGGATTCGATTACACCAAGACCAATTGTGGTTATATCGATGAACAACAATAGATTTCTAATCCGCTTTATTAACATAATGCGTTGATGGTATTAAGAACTCTTATAAGAAACAATGTGGAGTTAAATCAAGAGCAAGTGTTTCACCTAAAAAAATAATTAAATGCTAATTGAAATTGATAAATGATCGGTTTTAAAATTAGAGAATGGTTCCTCAATCAAACTCAAGTCAAACATGTACAAACACAACCGAGAATGAGTCAGACAAATCTTTCTCAAATATATTGTGATATTCATAATATCCAAGACTTTAGACTTAATCAAAAGAACTATAGGATTAAATAGTTGAATTTTATGATCACACTCCATAATTTTAAAGCCACTAACTAAAGAAGGTAAAGATTATAAAGCCACCGAATGTTAAGGAGAAGTAGACAATAGTCAAAGACAAGACTCCATGTATTTTATTAGGGATGGAAATAGGTCAGACACATAACAAAGGTCTACAAATCTAATCTACATAGATTCTGGTCATATTAAATTGTTTTTTAAATAGAAAATGTCTAAACTTTTTATAAATTTATTTAGTTTAAAAAACTAGACCTCAGACCATAAAAAAAACATTTTAAATCTAAACTTATTTAAATAAATATGAATAATTTTTTATTCTCATTATATTATAAACATACTTTGAATTAAAATACATAAATAAAAATTAATTATCTTGGAGAACATATGAAAATAAGATAAGAATACATTATGAACAATATTATAAATTATCTTAAACAAATAATCTCACAAAACTTATGTTAATACATAAGTTAAAATAAATCAATATAAACAAACTTTTAATCTCATTAATTTTTAATTTGTTAGTCTATTTAAAATACCAGACTTTTACTCAACTCAACCTATTTTCACCCTTGTATTCCATAAATGGAAGAAACAAGCATACATTTTACGATGTAAATAGTCAAACAATACAACAATTTTAGTAGACCATAATGTTATCGTCTGTAAAATAGTTTTCTCACTAAATACCTCAATCCATAAATTTCTACCAATACTCAACCAATCAATTAAAACTATTTTTAGCATTTTATCTTCTTTATTCTATTTTATTTTAAGCATTTTTTAGACTAGTGATTCAATTTCCCATATTTGTATTTAATATTCTTTAAAGTAGTTAAGGAACAAATTCCACCTTCAGTGCAATTGTTAACTATCAGACGAATTTCGACTAATCTTGTATAGTTCCACAACAACCACCATGGGAGAATCCTTTTCAAACTCCACACTCTCCTGTCCACCCCAGTAGAGAACATTTGACATCAACCAACCAGGTGCAGGCAAGCAAAAAAATCTTGGACAAAAACTATTGGATTCCAAACTTATAGCTGATACAATCAATACAATCAAGAGGTATTTTGCAATACAACTTAAACCCTCTAAATAATTATATTGCATCTCACAAAAAATATTATATAAAATAGAATATATCAAAATTAGTTAAATGTAAGCTGACTTATTTAAAAAATTTAATACAAATTATTGTCTAATTTTTTAAGCCTGTTCTTTACCATAAAAGAAAAAAAAAAACATCTGATACTTCATAGAAGAACCAGAGACTAAAATGATACAGTAAGTCATTGGAAGTTTATAATTTCAAAATTTTCCAGCAATTACAACTGCAAAAGAAAAGTTTCAAGGCCCTGATAAATCAAACAAAATACCTATCCTATATAAAAATATTATGAATGATGAATATACACTCAGTTTAACATTGATCTTATTGTTCTGCCAGCCTCATTTGCCTCTCCGGCGATTTCTTGTTGCTGCACAACTTGAACAGAACCATTTTCCTTTTGGTTGTTCTCTCAGGCCAACACAACCAAAATGAAACCACTCTATTTTGCACTGTAATTAATAGACAACATCAAAATATGTATGGAATATAGGTTAAATGGATATAAACAAACAAGTATAAGAAAAGAAAAAGTAAAAACATACATCAGGGTTATCGCAGGCAACCATTTCTCCGTAGCTAACTTGGTTGCAAAAGCAGTATGTGGGTTCATTCGGATCAACCGGTAAATCTAAATCCATGCCAGTAGGGTTTGCAGATGCGGCTAGTTCTGCTGCTGCTGCAGTTGCTGCTGCTATTGCAGTTTGGACAGATGTTGTTTGCCGTGTTCTGAAGCAGTTTTAAATTCAGATAAAATGTAACACTTAATTTTTAAATAGTTAGAAGGTAAATTTATAAATGAACATCACATTTTATAAGCTTACACATTTAACGTGTTGATGATAATAACATTATTACAAGACTATCATGTAATCAGCAACCATTATCAAGGTATTCGCATGGATCGATATAATAGAATTTCTGATGTAAACATTCCGAGTTTTATCATTATGTAAATATTTTGGAGGATAACATTTAGTTTTAAATTGCCACACCAAGGATTAAATACCATAATGAGTAGTATTTGAGGATGTACTTTACATATCCTCAATAAAATTGGAATAATCTAAGGCTTCAGACAGATACAAATCACTAGGATTGATATGATATTCACAACAATGTATAACAAAGCCATATGCCGTTATGTCAAATATCAAACAAATGTAGACTGAATTGTGATGTCATTGTCAACTCAGAGATACAGCATCTTCAAACTCAAATTATGCACATTTTTCTCAAGACCCATAGTAACATGATAGGCCCATTAATAGGGCCAGCTTAGGAGGAAAGGAAAAAGAAGCGGAGATGAGGACAAGAACAGAACAAATGGGCCCGGGACTCACCCAGGTGCTGCCTAGTTAGGAAAAAATGAGAATGAACATACATACCATTATAGACACATGGCCCAAGGAAAGCAGAGGAAAGGAGAATGATTTAAGGAGAGAGCATAGCCGCAAGGGGTGCAAAGAAATTCCAAGTTCTTGATGAAGGTTGGAGATGAGAAGAAAAGCTATTCTCTCTCAGTTATTAGCTATTTTCTTTGTTTGATTGGTATGCAAGGAATTTTGCTCCATTTCGCGCTCATAAATATTTCAGATTGTAAGGGAATTTGTCACCCTATTTAGAGTGAATTTCAATACAGCTTCTGTTCATCTATTTTCGCAGTTTCGGGTTCCATCAACTGAAGATAAAGTAAGCACGTTCGTGTCAAGTAAGCATGTACACCAGTTTGACATACTGAAACCTTTTTCTGGAACTTGTCAATTTTTATGTCATGCAATGTCTAGTTAATGTTGGTTTCCATATTCTCAGATAAATAGTATCTACTTCTAGATAATTTTCCTCATGTCAATCAATGTCTTACATAGCCGAATATATAGAGGCACAAGATCAGGAATCGGTGTTTAGGAAATAGACAAATGAAAAGCACAAGCATAATAATCACATAAATGATATATGATAAGCTATCAGAAAATGAATTATGGATACTCTGAAAAGTGCTACGTACTTTTTTCTGCCTCCTCTACCGCCTTCATTCTTTCCAGATTTTGTGTTGACGTCTGTACTTGAAGCAGGCACTCCAGTCATTGCAGCATTTTCTCTTTCTGTCATAAATAACAGAAATGTTAGGCTTTTGTGCAAACATATGAGGGGATTCAGTTATCACCGATTACAATATGATTAAACTTTTAAACAACATTTACAGATTGAGTGGCACAAAAAAGGAAGAAAGTTAAATACCACGCCGAAGCTCCTCGTCAAACTTTTTCAGATATTGATCAAGTTGTTGTATATGTGTATCGACCTACAACAAAATCATGAAACATAACTACAAGATCCAGAATCAAGCAATCACCTGTTTGCAAGTATATTCTGTGTCTAGAATTTTTTATTTCTGTGTCTAAAACCAGTGTTATCAAATTGTGGCGCTATGGCAGATATACATGGCGGTTTTTGGGCTCGCCACAATGGTAAATATCGGCCGCTATTGCGAGCTTTTCCGCCATAATCCGCAATAACGGCGCCCCAAAGTGGTCAGTATTGCGGGATTTTGGCTTTCCGCCATCGACAACATTGTCTAAAACCACGCACACATCACTTGTATTTATAATGTAATTCTCTAAATACAAATCGGAGCAAAATCAATGTGATTGCTTAAAACAAGATACGGTGATATTACCAAATCATATGCTTGGACAGCCAAGGCAACTTTTTCATCAGCAATCCTGATGCTATGCTTTTGTTCATCAAGTGCTTCATCAGATAATCTAATAACTGAAGTATCGAGTGTGATGTTTCCAGACCTAACTCCTCGCCTAATATCTTCAATTTCTTGCTGACAACGCTGTTCATTTTGCCTTTGATTATCTGGTCATACACAATGCTTATGTAGCTTGGAACCTCATACAAGACTCAATGTGTGACAAAATAAGGGGGAAAAGGACAACCACAACTAGAAGCTTTTCATATTTATTTTTTACATTTCAACATAGGAGTAAGATAAAAACAATCTAAGAGTTCAGCCTGCCTTGAATTTAATATACCAAAGTAAGCAACATACAGCTGAAGTCTGAAATTAATACCATTGATGCAATAAGCCGTAGCAGTAAATTCAATCACAAACTTGCCATAATGTTCCCAAATTACCATTAGACATTTTTTTTGTATATACCTGGTATCCTCAGTAGAATTTGTATTGTGCTTTTTACATCAAAGGACTAATATGTTTATCAAATCGAGATATAATCATGAATCGGAAGACATTTTTAAGTTTAAAAAAATGACATAACAAATTTATAAGTTGGTATATCATATATGAACCTTAAAATAGTTTTAGATTCAAGCCATGTCTCAAATGCAAAAGAAAAGTGGTTGGTGGTAATACGAAGTTGACAAGAAAAAGTTGCTGGCTACTAAGTTTAGGTAATGACTCATAAGAATAAATCGAGATTCATTATAGTAAATGGGGAATCAAGATGAGATCCATGTTTAAATGTCTAAATAGAAACATACAACAGATTCGTATTGATTGGGGTTCAATTTAGTATCGAGTCGAGATACGAATCACATGTATCTTAAGATATTGATAATCATGAAAAGCCTGGGCAGAAACACCTAAGCATAAAAGACAGTACAATTCTATGGGAAGCCCAATAAGGTTACAACTTTTCACCACTGAGTCACTGACTCACAGACACACCCGCGACATTCATATTCTAATAAAAAATTGAACGCAGTTAATCACCACAAAGAATGATACAAAATCACTAAATGGCTAACATTTATTAAACCTTTTACTATGATAGATTTAATTCATATGCACTCACCATATAAAAGACATTTTACACTGACAATCAATCATATTCATTGGACCATTACAAGTATTTGATTTTGACACTGCTCATAACTACCTTAAAAATCATAAAATGATGTGCTGTGATTGAATGACACTCTAATATATACATGATCAAGAACCAAAAAGAAATAAAAAAGATACAATCTTTGACATATAAGGAGCAATAAATACATAAATAAATAAATAAATAAATAAAATAAAAAAATGAAACTGTAAAATTACAAGTACCTTCTAAACTCTTATCTAGGTCACGCAACAGGGCATACTTCTTATGAAGAATATTGGGCAGTGAATCCAAATCTGCAGGAAAATAAAACACAGAAAACACAAAGTTGTTTGTTAATATGGAACTTGGAAACACAAACACATAATTGAACCCTAAAAAATCCTTAATTTCACAAAAAAAATTGAAGAAAAATTAACAAAATTGGGAAATGGGAAATTGAGTACTGGCTTGAAATTCTTCAAGAAATGACATTAGGGTTTCTGGGGAAGACCGATAGCTTTCGTTCGAAGTCGGTGATAAAAATGAAAATTGGACCAAAAAAAGGAAAATGTTAATATGCAGCAACAATATAGGTGGACCACCGTAGTCCATTAGTATAAAATTGCATTTTGACCCTTAAACTTTTTGAATATTTATTTTATGTCAATTTCTAGGGGTTAAAAATAGACGGTGCTAATTTACATAATTTACCTCTGTTCCGTCGTTATTCCCAAAGACAGAAGAAGTTCTATAGCTCTAATTCGTGAAGAGCTCTTCCATCGGTGTTGCTTCGGTCGCCGTTAACCGCTATGTATAGCATCCCCTTCATGGCGGAGAAGTGGGTTTAGTATCTGTGCGCGGTAAGTATTGAAATATATAAAAGTTGATAAACTGTTTAGATAGTGTTTTTGTTATTCACGGTTGATCATCTTGTTGTTTTGTGCGGGAATTAGTTTATTTAGGACGTGATGAAAATACCCTTTTCTTATGACAGGAAGTGATAAAATACCCTTCTCTCAACCTTCTCTCTCATTTCTTCCTCTATTTCTCTCTACCTTTCAGCTCTGACTGTGCTCTTCTCTCTCTTTTCATCTCAATCTCTCAACCTTCTCTTCAATTCTTAAATCTGTTAGAATATATTTCTAATCTTCTTCATCTTTCAAAGTCGATTTTGAAACAGATTTTCATAATGTCTATAGCTTGATTTCGGTTAGATTTTCATCTTAATAATGTTTATGCAAACTGAAATCTTTGTGGATTTGTCAATGAATAATTTTATGCAACCCAAAAGCTTTGTGATGGTTTATGGGTTTTGTTGTGAATCAGATACCTTGAAACAAAGTATAAACGATTTCTTTTTTATCAAGAAACACACAAGGGTTAGGGTTAACAAATAAAACAAGGTAAAACAACAAGGAACAACAAGGATTGGTTATAAATAGTTATTCTTTCCTTTCTCTTAGAACAAGATTACAAGTATACAAAAATAACAAAATAACCTCTCTCTCTCTCTTGAAATTAGAATTTTATCTTTCTATTTTCCCTTATGCCAAGATTGACAAACTAGCATCCTATATATAAGAAAAATAACACACTAACTTAATATGTTTTTTTTAACAATTACTCATTACAAGCTAACTTAAACAATTGGGCTTACAAGCATGACTCAATTCAACATGCTAACAACCCTAGCAATATTGACTAATGCATGTTAGAACATACTTCGACTACAACACGCATTACTTTGACAGCAGCATGCGAACATACTTCGACCTCATGCTTAATTCCTGTCGAACTAGAAACTACCCTTCGACCATACTAGAGTTCGATTCAACATCTCACAAATCTCCACCTTGGATCTAACTCTATAACATCAAGGAACTAACTTTCTTCATGCAGCTTTATCAACTGCATACAGTGGAAAATCTTGCAACTAGGCAACGTCTTGGTGATCCTATCAGCAACATTATGATCTGTCAAAATCTTCAGCACTTGGACTCCACGCTCGATTAACCCTATGGCGAAATGCAGTCTCACATCAATGTGTTTGGTTCGCTCATGATAGACTGAATTCTTCGACATATGTATTGCACTTTGACTATCACATTTAACAGTGATAACTCGACCTTGAATCATAGTCGACATATCCTTCAATTGCTACTTTACTATCTTCACCCAAGGCTCCACCATAAATTAGGACTCCATTCAGAGACTCATTTATGTACCTTAGAATCCACATCAATGCTTACCAGTGAGCCTTTCCAAGATTCATCGTGTACCTGCTTACAAGACTTACTGCATATGTTATGTCGGGTCTAGTACAAACCATAACATACATCAAAGAACTCACTATATTAGCATATGGAATGTCATTCATATAAGTTTTTTCAACATCAGTGATGGGACACTGATTTATACTCAGCTTGAATTAAGGGTTTGTCGGAGTCACAACAGGCTTTGAATTCGACATACCATACTTTTCGAGAATCTTCCGTAGGTATGCCTCTTGAGATAAGCATAATCTCGACTACTTTCTATCTCTTCGGATGTCAATCCCAAGAATACTGGACGCAGCTCCCAGATCCTTCATGTCGAACTCTTTATTGAGTTCAACTTTCACCCTCATTACCTCTTCGACATTGTTGCTTGCTATTAGAATATCATCCACATAGAGCAACAAAATAGCAAATGAATTACCCGGCCAAAATCTGAAGTAAACACAGTGGTCGAACTGACTTCTGATGAAACTTATGTGTTCCATGAACTTGTCGAATCTCTTATTCCATTGTTGAGGAGATTATTTCAGTCCATATAAGGATCTATTCAGCTTGCACACATAATCTTCCTTCCCTTTTTTGACATACCCTTCAGGTTGCCTCATCAGAATTGTTTCATCTAAGTCACTATACAAGAAAGTAGTCTTCACATCCATCTGTTCCAGTTCAAGATCGAACTGTGCCACTGTGGCAAGCAACATTCAAATGGATATGTGTTTCACAACAGGAGAGAACACATCATTAAAGTCGATACCTTCTTTCTGAGTGAACCCTCTAGCAACCAATATTGCCTTGTATCTCTTCGACGCCACTCATTCGATTCCTTCCTTAACTTTGAGAATCCATTTACAACTGACTAATATGGCTCTAGCAGGTTTCTTGATCAGTTCCAAGGTTATCATGAAGAGATTTCATCTCATCATCCATGGCCTTCAGTCATTCAGTCTTCTTTCGACTCCTCGTAACTTCCTTATAGTCTCTAGGTTATTCGTTTAGAACCTCACTTGCAAAGATTAAGGCATAAGCTATAAGATCTGCATACCTAAGTCTCTGAGGTGGCTTGATGACTCTCCTCGACCTGTCTCTTGCTAGCAGGTAGTCATTATCAGTCTCCTCATCTTCGACAACATCCTCTGCGTCTTCTTCGACTTCATCTGGGGTATACAATTCAGCATCAACATGCTCCACCTTAACAGGATTCTCTCCCTGTTCCAGCTCTTCGTTAGCATCATCAGTTTTCTTAAAAGTCATCCCTGCTTCATTAAAAACTACATCTCGACTGGTGATATACCTTCTGTGACCTGGCTCTAGGCATCATAGCCTGTAAGCTTTGACTCCTTTAGGGTATCCCATGAACATCCATTTCAGAGCTCTAGGTTCGACCTTGTCTTGCCTAATATGAGCATAGGCCACGCAACCAAATACTCTCAGTTTGTCGAGACTAGGTGGATGTCCCGACCAAACTTCTTCAGGTGTCTTCATTCCCAAGGCAGTCGAGGGACATCTATTTATCAAGTAAGCTAATGTCGAAACAGCTTCCGCCCAAAACACCTTCTTCAATCCAGCACTAACCAACATGGATCTAACCCTTTCAAGGATTGTTCGATTGAATCTCTCAGCTAAACCATTTTGTTAAGGAGTACCTGCTACAGTCTTATGCCTTGCAATCCCAGACTCAACACAACAATTGTCGAATGCTTCGTTGCAGAATTCAAGGCTATTGTCGGTTCTCAACCTCTTAACCTTTCTGCCAGTTTGAGTTTTGACCAAAATCTTCCAACTTTTGAAATTCTCAAAAGTTTCATCCTTCGTCTTCTGAATGAATACCCATAGCTTTCTAGAATAGTCATCAACAATGGATAGAAAATACCTTGCACCTGAGTGCATGTAGCACCAATGGAGGTTTACGAACATTACATTACACATGGTTTCTTCAAGTCAAGAATGAGGTTAATATATGATTTGGATCATGATTAATAAAGAGAAATCAAGAAAAGTAAGGTTACTTGGAAAAAGGGAAACCATGAAGAAATGAAATTTTTTCTAAGTTATGAGAAAACCCTAATATGGTGCTAACTTGCCAAAGCCATAACTTCCAATCCATGTAACCATTTTCTTTGATCCAAAGATCAAATTAAAGAGCTTGTTATATACTACAACTTTGTCCTTGAGGGTGGATTCTAAAAAAATGCATAGATTAAGAGATATGAAGCCATGAAATTGGAGGTTCCATACTTTTTGAACCTAAACACTTAGTGAAATTTTAGACAGAATCTGTCATGTGTTGGAGCCAACTTTAGGGCCATTTTTATCCATGATCTACTTTGATTCAAGACAAACCTTGAACATCAAACTTGAAGTACATTATACTAGCTTTCCAAAATGATCAAGAACATCAAAATTTGTTACTTGAGCAAAAAATTATGGATGTTGCAATAAGGCTTGATCAAGTTGAAATTCCAAGACATATTTGCAACATGTTTGTGCCACACGTTTTGGATAAGTCTTGCAAGCCTGGAATCTTCATAATATCAATACCAAAATGATCACAAAACATGTGTTCTGCAAAGCATAACTGAATTTTCAAAGTTTCATCACTTGGCATGTGAAAAAAATTATTCAAAAAGTATGAAGTGAGGTTTTGTCATTAGCATTAAAGTGCTATAATGATTTTTGCAACAAAAAAACACCCTCTAATCTTCCCAAGGATAATCTGAACATCAAAGGATAGGATGAAGCCTTAAGGAACAAAGCTCAAAATATCAAAATGTGAGCCATGTGAAGAATAGCCCATGTGTGCCCTGGCTTTCAAGTTATAGGTACATGACATCACTTGTTGGATAATAGCCTACATCCAAATCCTTTCAAACTCAAAATACCAGACACATTTCTCCTATAAAGAAAGACCATTGTGCTTCACTCCAAGCACACCAAAACATTTCCAATGATTTTTTTTCTTCATAAATCCTCCTTCTTGCAAAATTCAAAGTTCTCAAAGAGTAGAACTTGAATTCTCAGTTCAAGATCATTTCCAATCAAACCAAGCATCCAAACACTTCACATACATCATGTGTAAGTGATCCAAACACTCAAACACTAACTGTAACATCAGAATCATCAAGTCACATGTCATTTACTTCATATACACCATAAGTTGCAGATGGATTTGAGCTAGAATTTTCAGAAGCTTTCAAACCAATTCAAACATTGTAACAC